TCTTAGATGTTACACCACCTCTCTGAGCCCGTTTCCTCGTCTGTAAAATGGGGATAATTATAGCAACTACTTTGTAGGACTCGAGAGCATTACATATAATGCACGTAAAAACTGGAACAGCACCTGACACATACAAAGGATGCTGTTACATCATTTCATCCTCACAGAAATAATTTCACTGAAGAGGAAACTGAGATAAAGAGGAAGTGAAGTTCCCTGTCCAAGGTCTGAGATGGTCAACTCCAGAGCTACAACCTTTAGTAACTTGGCCAGTATCCAGAAGTCAATGGACCCCATTTTACATGTAGGAATGGAATAAAGCATCTAAAGCAAGTAAACGAGAGCTTAGTGTTCAATAAATGATAGTAATTTTAATTGCTAAGTGAAGATCTGATATCTGAGCTCACTGCTTAGAGCCTACAAGTAAGACAGCCCCCATTCTCCATTCCTGCACTTCCTAGGGAAGCTCTGAGCAAGGACTCTGAATTTCACTCTTTATGTCCACCCTTGCCCCAGGCAGGATGGGGGCACAATGACCATTTAGTCAACAGGCAGTTATTTTGGTTTAATGATACTTAAACTGGAGCTTTGTATAAAATTTCTAATTACAACAGCAATGCAAGCTCAATGCAGAACACTGGGTTGGGAGGACAGGGAAATAATTAAAATCCTGTCATTTCAGTACCCAGAGAGAAGCACTGTTGACATTCGGGTGTATGTCCTCTTAATATTTTTATATAGGTAACAGATTTTCATTAAGGGTCTTGGATAATCAGGAAGTCTTAAAGTGTTAGAAAGGAAAGGGCTGGTAGCAGGGCCATCATGTTCAATAATGCAAGTCCTGTACTGTAAATGGCACCGTAGTTGTGTAGTACCCAATCTCCATGGATATTCTAAGAACCTTAGCTCTTAGTGCTTACTTAGCTCAGTGGTCCTAACCTTTACTCCTCCCCAACATGCCAAAGGGGAGTGTCACACTCTTCTGGAACAGTGGCTCATGTGCAGTCATAGTGTTGCAAAGGAGGGAGAGGGATGAAGGACTGTGCCATCCTCCAAGAGGCAGATTATAACATCCGAAGGAAAAACATAAGTAACCTGTGAAAAAAAGAAATAAAAACCACCTAGGCGATTTTGATAAGCAACTCCACCCTTTAGTGATCCACTACTGGTCTTACAGAGAAACTGAGGCTCTGAGAGGAGATTTACTCAGTCACACAGTTGGTAAGTGGCCAGAGGTCAGGCAGAACTTGAACCAGGACACTCTCTAACAGTCCAGTTCTACCTGAATTGGAGTAAGAAAGATGTGGATTCAAATCTCAGTTCTTTCACTTACTAGCTTTTGACTTTCAACAAATCATTTAACCTCTGAGTCTCAGTTTCATTTGTAAAATAATGTTTATTTATTTATTGGCAGCTGGCCAGTAAAGAGATCTGAACCCTGTGACCTTGGTGTTATAAGGCTGTGCTCTAATCAACTGAGCTAACTGGCCAGCCCATGTAAAATAAGGTTTAAATGAGAATTTAACATCATTAAATTTAAATGAGAATTAAATGGGGAGGGGGGGATCTTTTCTAACAATTACTCAGTGCTAGATCCAGGTACTGCACAAGTCACTTCACATGCATTATCTCATTTATAATCCTCACAATGATCCTATGAGGGGATGTAGTGGATTGAATTATGTCCCCCCAAAACAACTGAAGCTTGAATTGTGTCCCCCAAATTTTATGTATTAGAAACTTAGCCCCCACTGTGACTGTTAAGAGGGTGGGAAATCCTATTATGGTAATTGAAAGGTGGAGCCTTAAACAGGTGATTGGATTGTAGGACCATGCAGCAGTGAATGGATTAATAATGGTGGTCAGGGCTGTGGTTCTGAGGGCTTTAAAAGAAGAGGAGAGTCTGTTTCTTGCAATGTGAGACCCCTGGATCACTGTCGCCACCACCAGATGGACTTTGAACTTCCCAGCCTCAGAAACTGTAAGCGATAAATTTCATTTTCTTTATAAATCACCCAGTTTCAGGTATTTTGTTATAAGCAACACAAAATGGACTAATACAGGTGGGATACTATTTTTACATCCATTTTAGAGGTGAGGAAACTGAGGCTCAAAGAGCTTTAAGTCCGTCACTTGCCCCACATCATGTAGCTAGTAAGTGGTTGGGCTGGGATTTAAGCCAAGGTCTGTCAGTCTCAGGGCAATACTATCACATGACATAGGTAACTCTTAGCACAGTGCTTGCAAAATACAAACGCTAAATAAATAGCAGCCATCATTATTTACTGTTATTATTGTGAATACAATTATTATGTTACATGTGATTGGCTGGTTTCTGTTTTTAATCTCCTGAGCAGATAAACCAAGAACTGGGCCAATCCAAGAAGGGGAAAGAAGTGCCAGCCTTGCCTAGCCTTGGGCCATGCTCATGCTACATGGAAGAAAGAAAGGGCAGCAGCAAAGCTTGGGTAGTGTCTCTTTAAAACCTTGGCCTCTCTGAGTTGGTGGGACAAAGACCAACTGGGAGGCATAACTCCTGTTGGAGGGGTCTAGTGACCTTGCAAACTGGCTTAGGGTATCCCTGCCTTCCCATCCCAGACTACTAGTCCCTCCATCCCGTCCTGGGCACCTTTTGGAGCCTTCCGGTGTATGGAGAGTTAGAAACCATGATTTGGACCTCTGATGGGCGTGAATGATTAAAGAGGCAGGACCCACAGCTAGAGAGAGAGGACCCATTTTAAAAAAGCCCAGCGAGCGCGGACACGCCACCTGGAATCCCAGCCTCCCCCTGAGCCCGGCCAGCATGAGTCACCCCACAGCTCTTCACCTGTGTGTTGCAACACGACTGACAGAAACTCCACAGCCTTCCATGAGGTGAGCAGACAGGTATACACAGAGAAGTGTGCCATCCTTTGGACTGCAGTAAGCTTTGCAGTTACAGTAGGCACCAAATGGCCCTCCTGCCACCAATAATCTCTGTGATATCTTTGGGTATGCAGGCTCTGCTCCCAGATTAAATCCCAGCTCTGGCTCTATTATTGCCTAACTCTGCAGCTTGAGCAGTTTACTTAACCACTTCTTACCTCAGTTTCCTCATCTATAAAATGGGAACAATAAAAGTACCTTTCTCAAAGGGTTGTTGTAAGGATGAAATGAGATCATGCATGTAAAGACTCAGCATAATGCCTGATACATGTGGTTACTGACCACCTACTAGGTGCCAGACACTATAGTAGGCACTGGACAGTCAACAGCAAACAAGACAAGCACGGAGTTCACATTCCAGCGTAAGGGGAGATAGACAATAAACAATTAAAAAATATCAAAAAGTCGTAAGGGCTTTGCAAAGAAGAAAAATAAAGTGGCATAGTACAGAGTGATTTAATGTCTTCTTTAACAAGGGTGACAGGAGAGGGCTGCTCTGAGGGGGTGTCTTTATTAGCAATTATTATTTTCTATTATTTGTTAGGGCCCCCTGGGCTGCCCCCACCACAGTCTTCAGTGAGAAACCAACCTCTGACAGTACTCAAACCCAGTACCCACTCTCCACAGGCCTGATCCCACCCCAAGAAAGCTCCTTTGAATTCTGGCTTTGCCCTAAAAACCTCCATCAAATTGGCAGGAGTAGCTGAAACCTACTGGAGAAAGGAGTGGGCCAAGGTGACGCTCCCAGGAAGACAGGGCAGAGAGATAATTTGCCAAAAGGGAAGGGTGGGGGTTGTGGGGGAGAAAGCGGGGGTGGGGGGAAGATACCAAGATCTTTGGCTTAGATTTGATTCCAAATTAATCCTGGTGGGAGCTTTTTAAAAAGCTCTAGCATTCTCCTGTTTGTGTTTGTGGATATTCCGGGTTTACAAACCTTGTTCTTTACAGAAGACAGCTCATGGCAATTATTCCACAATTACTTCGTCTAACAGGCAACTGATTTCTCCCGAGTACCCAATGCAGAACGAAGCACTTAAGAGTTTGTGAACTGACTGGCTAGCTAAGGCTTCAGAAGTGACTGGCTTAATTTTTCCATCCCTTCTATGCTGGCCAGAGTTATGTGGTTTGCCCACATCCCATTTAGATATGTATCACAACAAATAAAAGGCTGCCCCTTACCTTACTCTTCCACCCACTGCCACCAGCACACACACCCCCAGATTGTGAACTTCTCCATTTTTGGCCTGTTTCTCCAGAACCCAGAGTAGGACCCGGCACAGAAAGGTGTCAGTGAATGTCGCTGAACTGAGGCCACTGACTCCAGCTCCAGAGGCAGTGAGAGGACTGCAGATTCAGATCTGGGCGCTGACACTCACTAGCTTGTGCCCTTGGGCAAGTCATTGTACCTCTCCAGCCTCCATTTCCTCCCTCATCTGTCAAGTGTGTGTGCTGAGGAGGAAAGGACAGGTGATAATAAACCTACCATAGAGGGTTACCGTGAGATTCAAAAGAAATCACTTGAATAACTGCGAAAGGTTATTCATAAACAAGATAGTATCTTGAGAGGAAAGCTCTGAAAAAAACAAAAGGAACTTATACAGAGACCCACCTGGGGAAGATTTGCTCACTCCTTTGAGAATTTCCCAGGGGTAGAGAAGGAGGGGCAAGGAATGGGGGTGGGGGAAGATGTTCCTGAGTATCTAGGATACTAACTAGAAACAGGAATTGAGATTTCCTTTAAACCAAGTATCTGTTTGTTCCTGTAATTTTCCTCTAGTTCTTGCTTCTTTCCAACATTTTTTGCTCCCTCCCTCCTCTCCACCCCCCACCCCCTCACCAAGGAAGGAATTGGCCGGCTCCACCCAGCCGGCCCCCCATGGCTCCGCCCCAGCTCGGCGGGCCAAGAGTTAACAGCTGCACCTGTTGAGGTATACCTGCAGTCGCCCGCACCTGTACCTGCAGCCAATCAGCTCCAGCGCTGCTGGGAACCTACCTGTCAGCAAAATCCCAACACCCAAACCTCAACATAAATCAAACACTTCCCTGGGCAGGGGATGTCTGTGTCAGGAGAGAATTAAGAGACAAGCGGTCAGCAGAGCCTCAGTGCCGATCGATCGTCGGAGCTGGGAGCAGGAAGATGTCGAATGAACTTGAGTGAGTAAACATCGGTGGATGCCGGGCGTTCTCTGAATGTGGAGACTGGATGGGGTTTCTAGGAGGGGGAAGAGCAGGGAGGCCGGCGCCAGGATTCACAGAGCAATTTGTAAGGGTAAATGAATGGGCTGACGATCTTGCTTTGGCGTGTTGAGGCAAGCCCCGGTCTCAAGCTAGAGCTGAGTGTATCCCTGGGAAAATAGTTTTTCTCCTTCTCTCTGCTGAGCAGTTTCGAGCCAGATAGGGAAACACAGGCCTGAAACTGTGAAGGTTTTTGGCACCACTTTTTGATATTCTGAAGGAGCCTTGGAAATCAGAGACAACTCCAATCTCATCAAGGCTTTCTATCTTCTTGCCAAAAGGAACTTCTTTGAGGTGGTTCTAACAGCTGTCTTAGGCAGAGAGTTGGGTTTCTCTAAAGGGACTTGTTTGTTGGGTTGGAACAATCCCAAGTGGGAAGGTTACAGGGTGGTGGTTAAACATGTGCACTCTATAGTGGGCTTGACCTAGGTTCAAATCTAGGCTCTGTCCTTCACATTCTGTGTGATCTCGGAGAAGTCATCCAACTTACTTGAGCTTCATTTCCCTCATCTGGAAAATGGGTACAAGAATGTTTTGTAGGATTCTTGAGAGAGTTAAGAGTGATAAAGGTACACAGCCAAGGTCTGAAGATGTGTTGATTTTATTCAGGCAGTTCTAAGGCTGGGGAAGCTGAGAAGTGGTTTTCGGTGAGGTCACCTCTGTTGCCTGGCAGGATGCAGGTGCCTTCCTGCCCACATCTTGGATTTTGGATCCCAAAAGGCTGATGCTGACCTCTACCACAGACCGCCCCTGCTTGGGGTCCAGACCTCAGAGAAGGTGGGATGAGGCCAGAATCTGGGCTGCTTTAGCCTGGATTCAGGGAGCTGGCAGGAGAAACCAAACTTCTTAAACACCGACTCTCCTCTTCCTGCCACCCTCAGAGAGGGAGGGTCACTGAAGGGAAAGGTCCGCTAGTCAGGAAGGAGAAGAGGTTTCACTTTAGTGCCAACTGCAACTGCGATGTCTTCTAAATTGACGTTCTGGATCTTCATTTTCCCTGAGTCAAATCTCTGTACCTCTAAGGGCCCACAAATCACTTCTGTGTTTGAAGAAAACACAGCATGTCCAAAACCTTCCTCAGACTATCTCCTCCCCCAAACAACTGATTCCTTCCTTTTCACTTCCATGGCTCTGACCTGCCTCAGGGTCAAGTTCAAACTCCCCAGTCAGGCCCTCCAGGCCTCCACCCCACTCACCCCACAGAAGCCTTCATTTTTCCAAATGAGTTTTCTCTCATGCCCCAATGCCCCAGGCTGATCACCCCAGGCTGGTCCCCCTGGGCACTGCCAGGACGCCCTCCCTGTGTCGAGCGCCTTCCTCCCCACTCTCATGTCACACCTACCCCTCCAGAATCAGCCTCCTGGACTTGAATCCCAGCTCCATTACCCAGTAGCCCTGTGACATTGCCTAGCAGCCATGTGACCATGGGCAGGTTAATTGGCTGTCCTGAGCTTCATTCTCCTCAAGTAACACAGGGAGAATAATATCTATTATTATTAAATACAAAGATGTCTGCTTACCCAGGTGATATTTAAAATCTACAGGTACATCTTAGGAAGCTGTTGAATAGTTTTGTGCCACGTCACTGAGGAGGCAGAAGTACAGTTTTACTTTCTCAAAAGCAACTCCACAATAAAATGTGCCATAAGCCAAGCTCATGTAAGTTTAAGTCAAACACTGTGAATACTGGAAGGGAATGCAGGCAGTATAATTAGCAGTAATTATTACAGATTCAGCAAGAAGTGCAAAGTACATTAGGGAGACATGCTAGTGTAAGGTGATCGACACTAGCTGCTGCAACTGACAAACCTGAACTCTGCGTGGTTTAACCTAATAAAAGTCCATTGCGGTTGTTGGACACGAGTCAGAAGGCTGACCTCCGTCTTGTAACTGTGAACTTGAAAAATGTGACTCTAAGGCCACCGCAGCAGAAGAGAGGAATCAAAACTGGAAGTGGCCATCTCTTCTGCTAACAGTTAATAGCAAGGAGGGCGGGGACACAGAAGGAGCACTTGGACGTTTGGTGTGCACTGACTGTCACTACCCGGAACCCGCCGCCTGGGGCTGCCCGGGGCTACGGCCCGCCGCAAGGGATCCTGGGGAGGCGGCCCGGGGCGCCGGAAGTCGCTGCCTACCGCCCTCGTCCCGCGGGAAAACGGCCTGCGCCTACGCGCTGCCCGCCGTCGGGTCTTCTGAGTGGGCGTCGTGACCCAGCAGGCGGGGTCCTGGACTGGGGGCTGTGGGACCCCTCGAGAGCAGCATCCTCGTGGTGACCTCCCGGCCACCTCCCCGCCTTAGCGGTGTGCCCCGAGGGCGTACCGTGTGCCAGGCGCACCTGCACGGTGCCGCCCCGCCCGTCCCCTCGAGTCGGGTACCGTTTACAGCCCAGGGAAGGAGGGGTTCGCGAGCTTTGGGGCTCGGCACATAGTAGGTGTATGCAACGGAGGCGGCGCGTGAGGTTTCCCCTCCACAGCCTCGCTCCGTCCGCAGGCTGGGCCCCGACCCGCTGCTGTCCTCCCATCCCCCCAATCCTTGGAGAGACGCGGCCGAGGGTGGGAGGCGGGGGACGAGAAGCCGTCCGGGTGACTGACCGCGGGCCCCGCCGGCCGACGGTCTATCTGATCTTCAGGAGCGCCGGGCTCCAGACTGCCTGGAGCGCTGAAAGAGTTAACCAGCAACGCCTCCCCGCTGAGGTTTTGTGGTCGAAACCATGATTGCCAGGAGCAAATTTTTGTCGTGCACAAGGTGTGTTATTAAAAGTCGGAGTTACGCTACTGGTGAATGAAAAGTTAAAAGCCCTCATTAAGCTCGGGCTGTAAAGCAGGCGGAGTGGGCCGAGAGGCTGAGACGCAGCACTAACGGCGGCGGCCGTCCGGGCTGCGCGAGGCTCCCGAGCCGCGGGCTGCTTTGCCAGCTGCTTGGAGGGGGCAGGCGCCCCGGCTCATGCCAGGGGCTGGCCGCTCCGTCTCAACAGTGAGTGGCCGGAGCCAAGTGGGTCGTCAGAGCTCCCACCCCTAGCAACAGCAGGTGCAGGGAAGAGCAGCAGGGCTGAAACATACATAGGATCCTCGCGATTGAAACAAAAATAAGCCAAGAATTTACTGAACGCTGACTCCATCAGACGTTGTGTCGAGTGCTTGATAAATATATTATTTCCTTTAACCTTCCCAACAACCCGATGAGGGATGGGAGTGTAAATGCAATTTTGCAGAAGAAGGGAGTGAGGCTTGGCTCAGGCTTGCCCAAGGTCTCACAAAAGAGCTGGGATCTTAACTGGGTCCTAACTGGGGGGCCAGAACAATGCACCACAACACTCTGCTACCCTGCTTCCTACGGATTTAGACACTGAAAAAAGACATGAAGATATGCCCAACTGTTATCTCTGAGTGGAAGAATGTGGATGAATTCTGTTCTCTGTTTCCTATTTTTCTGCAGGTTCCACATTTTATATATTTGTTGTATTTTACAAGTATGGTACTTTTGAAATGGGGAGAGGGGAGAGAATCATTATTTTTTAAAAGCATTATTGGTTCACCTAGAACAGTGTTATTGAAGTGTAGTCCCTGGACCAGTATCGTCGTCGTCATCATCATCCCATCACCTGAGAACTTGTTAGAAATTCAAATTTTCAGCCTCACCCTAGACCTACTGAATCAGAAGCTCTGGGGGTGGGGTTCAGCATTATGTGTTTTAACAGGCCCTCCAGGTGATTCTGATGCATGTGCCAATTTAAGAACCATTGGCCTAGAAGACCTAGAAGAGGATTGGGAAGCAGGAGGTTCCCAGATCCACTGCTGGCCTGCAGTGTAGTTGCTGAGTCAGCAGGCTGAGAGCTTTGCTTTGGGGTCCCACCTGTGTTTAAAGCCCAGCTCTGCTGCCTACGGATTGGGTGACTTTCGGATGAGCTCTGACCTCTTTCAGTGTCAGTTTCTGCATGGTGATAAGAACACCCACCTCACAAGGCATGTGTGGGAATGAAAAAGCACAGAGCTCGCTGTACTAAGTAATTTCGTTCTCTTTTTTGCTCTTGCTTTCTATTCCCTCTCTGGGATTCAGCTTTTCTATTTGTAAAATGCAGCAAATAATCCTGACTGTCTGTCTCCTTCTCTTTATTCCTTTGGTCTTCTGGAAAGGTCAGAACAACTGAGTTAGTGAAAGTCTTGAAGGGAAATTATCTCACATATGTTTGGTATTATTTCACTGGGCCTTCCCAGGAGGTCAGCAAGAATTGGCAACTTTCAAGGGCAAGGACAACATAGTATTCACCTTTGACGTGTCCCCAGTGCCCTGCACCTGGCCTGTTACAGAGTGGCCCTTAGTGAATGTTTGTTGAATGAATCAGTGACTAAATGAATGAAGGGATGTGGCACCCTTGGTTTAGAGGTGTATTTCAACTTTTTTCACACCTCAGTTGCACAGTAGAGGGAAAAAAATAGGAAAATTGGACAAGTAACCAAGAGAAAGAATATATAACATGAACGAAAAATTCCCATACAGGGAAGACCTTTTCAAAGGGTAGAAAGTGAGTTTCTGGTGTAATTAGAAAATGGCACATAATTAATTTACACGCAACCAAAAGTGTTTGCTGGAGCCTGACTGCCCTCAACTTGCCCACCTGGATCCAGATGAGGAGGAAGCTGGTAGTGCTTGCCCCTCTTATCTGGGAATCTCAGGCATCAGGTCTGCTTCTGCCAGCTGGGAAGAGATATTCCATTTTACAGGCAAGAGAAAGTGAGGCTGTGAGTTGTGCAATTTGCTGGGGGCTATCCCCAAAGTGAGTATTAGTAATAATAGTTCACATTATTATGTGCTGGCACTGTGCTGACCACTTTACCTGCATTATCTCATTGTATCGTCCAACTGTCGTACTTCACAGAGTTGGGAAGATTAAATAAGACAATCGCTAGAAACCTGGTACT